AATTGTATTAGTGGTTTATGTAGTTTCCACACTATTTTCTATGGCATTATTGCTACTTATTATTGTTGCTTTTCATCTATTTTGTTGTTTCTTACAATGCTGATACTATTTTTTTGGCTTCTGTTGTTGTCACTGATCTATTGTCTATTGTTTATTTTCTTCTTCTTGAGCCAAGGGTCTTTCGAAAACAGACTCTCTATCCCTCCGGGATAAGGGTAAGGTCTGCGTACACTCTACCCTCCCCAGACCCCACTTGTCGAATTTTACTAGTTGTTGTTGTTGTAAATTTTGGAAGTTCTTTTTTGAGTGTTCTAGTTAAAGATTGGGATTTTTTCCTTCCTATACCATATATGAAAGTTTATTACCAAAAATGTGCATATTTTGTATATTACCCGCCCAGTCCACATTTTACCTACAAAATTTGTATCATTCGACTATTAGGCATTAAAGGAGCAGAATATTACCTAAAAACGTGCTAAAATTAAGGAGAGAATCTTGGTGACAATTGATGCTACATTAAATTCAATTTTTAAAAAGGGAAAGGAGATTTCTCATCTGCGTTTTTTTCTCCAGAACTACAATTCAAATTCTGAAGAAAAAAAAAAGAACGAACAGCTCCTAAAAATAAGAACAGATTCAACTACTAAGAGTTTCGACGAGCTGAATTCAAATTGTAAAATTCAAAATTTTCGAGTTTCAACAACTCAAAGTTGAAAAAATCTGTTCTTCGTCGTTGCTTCTATCAAATAATCGATCAGATATATCTGTTCTTCATCTTTTCTTCTTTCAATCTAGAAATCCAAAAAAAACATCAACATCAACAACAAATCATGTCCAAAATCGCAATCATGCTACAATTTAATGGGGATTGGGATAATTATGGCAGATTTAGAGATTTTGAAGTTGATGTCATTGTGGTAGATGAGAATGCAAGCTACAGTATCCTGATTTCTACAATTGCAGAACAAGTATCAATTGATACTACAGAAAAAATTGTAGAAATCAAATACATCGTGAAATCAAATAGTAGATTGTATATAATTTGTAGACAAATTGTAGTTAATTTGTAGATTGTAGATAATTTATAGATATAATTGTAGATACGTTGTAGATAAATTGTAGATAAACTATTTTATGATTGTAAATATTTTTATTGCTGTTTGTTATGTAATTCTAGGTGAGGGCTTCAACAGATCATATCCATACTGTGATAGATGGTGTGAAGCGGTACATGAATCCTACATTATAACTACTATTAACTACAAAAACTCTACAATTATGTATAAAACCAGTTCTACAATTCAAACAAATTTACCTACAGTTTACCTACAGTGAATGTACAAATTACCTACAGTTTAAGTACCTAATATAAGAATAACTACAATTTACCTACAGTTACAGGGCAAACAGGAAACACATCATCCACAATCATGTCTACATTATATCTACATTTTAGACTACAATTAATCTTGGAATGTTCTACATAAACTACAAACTAACTACAATTACACTACAAACAGTAAATCTAGGTGAGGGCTTCAACAGATCATATCCATTACACTAAATCTACAATTACACTACAATTACACTGCAATTACACTACAAATACACGACAAACAGTAAATCTAGGTGAGGGCTTCAACAGTCAGTATTTCTAAGTCGTTTGGAGAAGTTGTCGGCAGCTTTTCATATTAGTCTCTTTACCAATAAATTTCTCATTTTTGACTTTTCCAGAAGAGGGAATTTTGTTTGGTACCCAAAAAAAACTACTAAAGTGTATCTGTTTTCATTGTTTTGCTAGTTTGTGGCGTATTAAAATGTTTGTTGCAACTTTTGATTTCATGTAGACTTTCAGAAAATCAGATCACATATGCCACAATTGTTGCAGAGGAAATTGGCACGACATTCAAATATAATGAGATTTCGCTTGCTAATGCATCTCAAGGACATCTTTCGTTGATTGATCTTGCAATCGTGGATGAAGAACAAGAAAGAATGTGGGGTATGGGTAAAAACGTGGGTGAGGGGGTGAGGGATAAGGAGAGAGAAACGTGAGATATATGGATACCTTTAATTAAGAAGTAAAAACTGCCCATTAATTAGATATGATACCTTTAATTAAGGAGTAAAAACAGCTCATTAATTAGACCCTTAATTAAGTATGGTATAGGATTGGTAATTCGGTATACTAAGTGTAATTTACTCAAACCTTAAACATGTAGGGTAAAAAGGTTTCCTATGTAGTTTAGGAATGTAAAAATTCCTTAAAGATTACAGATAAAATAATAGATTAGAGGGAAAAAATATAAAAAAATAACTACAAATAGCTTGTTCTCCTCCTAAAGCTACGTATAACCTATAAGTACACAATTAAGGGGATAGGAAAACAAGATTTTTCTAGCATTTCTTGTGGGAAACAAACAATGTCTAGGGTTAGTACTTCCTTGCATGACAATAGGATATCTAGTCTGTGGATAAAGGGAGTTCATCCGCTTCCTGAAAATTTCCGACAACCGGTGATACAAGTCGTGGTTATTGCAGATTCACTTTTGGAAAGGAGAAACTCATAAATCCCCTAACCTAGTATTTAGGGTTAAATAATTCATTATCTAATGAGGATTTTGACATCAAATGATTGAGAGACAAGCAGCATTGGAGGGTTTTAAAGTAGTAATTTTGAACAAGTTTAGGTGTTTGGACGAAATCCCATAGAGTAGGAGGACGAAAATCTTAAAATTGAATAAGCACATGTTTCAATAAGGCTATTTATCATCATTTACTTGCCTGGGCTACCAAGTCCCAGTCGCACTGTTTACTTGTGCTGTAATGTTAAGCTCAGTTAGTAAAAGACTATGGAAGGGAGTATCCTATGTCTGCCAGTGATATGCTCCAATATGATTACCGTTTCTTTCACTTTACCTTTTTAGTAGTTTTTACTATCTCGAATTACAAAAATTAAACTGTTCAATCATCTTTCAAAGTTGCACCGAAACTGCACATGGGAAAACAGAGAAGAAACAAGTCTAAGAATTTTGATAAAGTTACTTGTCCAGAAAAAAGTCTAAAAGGTATGAAAAAATAACTTGACCTAAATCCAATAAATATTTACATTATTCAATTAATAATGTCATCCTATATATTTTTCATAGTTGTTTTTATCAAACTCCATTTAACTATTCAATTTCTATTTTTTTTTCTTTTCAAGTATCCTATCAAAATAGTGCATCAACCATTACTTTTAACATTTTGTTCCACTATAACTAATATAAGTCAAACCGAGTATCAAATATCCATCAAAGCAGGAGATTAGTAGTTTCCTTTTTGAACAATCTTGGTCTGGATCTTGTTGGCTGTATAATGTAAATCTTGTCTATAGTTAGGGGATTTTATCCCTGTATGGCTGTACTCAAACTTTTCAGGGAACACATTCTTAGGGGGCATTTGGACATAAGAATTGTAAAATTTAGAAAAAAAAGTTTAAAAAAAAAATTCCAATGAAAATGGTATTTGATAATTAAAGTTGTATTTAGACATGATTATAATTTTGGGTTGTTTTTGAATTCTTGTGAGTGATCTGAGTGAAATTGAAAAACAGCTTTTTGGAGTTTTTCAAATTTTCGGAAAGTTCCAAAATGTTTCTTCAAGTGAAAATTGAAAATTTTATGGCCAAACAGTGATTTCGGAAAAAAGTGAAAAAAATTTCATGGCCAAATGGGCTCTTAGAAAAATAAGGATGACAACTGACCCAAGTGTTTTCCATGAAGAAAGGCAAAAAGAAAAAGCAAAGAGAGCAACTGATGTTGCTGGGCTTTCTACTCATTTCATTTAAGAGAAATTTTCATAAAGCATTATCTTTTGGTAGTAATTAGCCATCTATAGATACCATTTGCTATATTACGGATTATAGATACCTTTTGTGTAGTTATAAGATATATTTGATGTATTTAAGCTATTGTATTCATGAATACAGTAGCAAAAATAGGCGTGAATCAGGGAAGTCCAGCTAATCAGTTGTTGTATTCGAGTGTATTCGACTGTATTCATGGAGTGAAACATGAGATTACAGCTGGACAGATTATTGTATTCAACTGTATTCGACTGTATTCACGGTGTGAAATAGGGGATTACACTGTTTTTAAAACGGAAAGTGAATCAATTAACATAATATACTCCTAATATAACTCAACAAATTCAATTATAACACACAAATTTTGTATTTTCAATTATAAAAAAGATCCTCAACAGAAAAATACCCCAAAAAAATAGCAATCTTCAGAAAAATTATATAATACATTTGAATACATAAATTATATTAATTAAAAAAACATATGAATACATTCATGGAATATAGCGAGACAATGAATATAATGAAACACATATATTACAGCGGGATACATTGAAATACAATGAAAAAAAAGACAGTGAATACAACGAAATACATGGAATACAACGAGATACATTGAATTACAATGAAAAACCCTAAAACCCTAATGGATCTATTCAAGCAACCTGCATCAAAGCGGCTAAAATGGGTCTTCTGAATTTGTGTTGCTTCATCAATTCCGTCAAATTCCACATATCCCTGCTATCTTTTTCTTTGTTTATTTTCCGTTCTAGTTGTTTGAATCATGATCCCTAAAGGATCCCGATTATTTATGCCAAAGCAGAACTCAAAGAAGAAGATGCTGACTTGCAAACAATCATGAAAACAGAGGATGGCAATTCTTTGATTTTCGTTCATTTAGAGTACATAAATCGTCTTCAGTTTTGATATGGATTTCCATGGCGGTTGAGGGAGAGATACTGGCGTGTTAAGAGAGAGAGGGTGGAGAAAAATCTGAAAGAATGAGAAAGAAAAATAATACAAAGAGCATTTTATGGCTTAAGAGCAGGAGGTAACCATAAATAGATATTTAGCTATAAGAATCAAAAGGTATCTATAGAATATAATTTTTTAAAAGGATATTTATTTAATATAAATAAGGTATTAACCTTTGCTATAGGAGGTAAAAATTTCTTCATTCAACTGGAACCATAGGCAACATATTCAACCTAACAATTTCTGCCAACATTGGATTTCTGCTGCACTGATCATACAAGATCTAGGACTAGTAACCTCCTTCCTCATCATATAAACAGTTCGACTTCGGACCTATTTAATTTTGGTGGCACGAAAGTTACCTGAGAGTACAAGACATGGATTTTGCCTCTAAAACCAATTTCTAAAATTTTCACATCTGAATAAGTAACTAACTTAAGCAGTGGTGTATAGGTGTGTCATATCTAAACCTTGAGAGGGTAGTACTAACTGCCTTTGTTTCCTCCACAAAAACTGTACATAGCTTCTTAATTGAGAATTGAGCTTCTCTTTTCCTCAGATATCCAAAGCAAGCTTGACAGTCATGAGGGAAGCAAACAGAATGATGCAGCTGATAAAGGGTTTCAAACTACTCGACATGGATGTCGACGTGGTAACAGTTGGAGGGATGGTATCACCGAAGCCTGTGGGCATTTCTCCCAAAGCAGGATTGCTCGCATTCAACACTGTTGGAGGTGCTCCGCTGCTGCACAAGTACATCAAAATGGGGTAAATGAAGAGCCTATAGATAATCTTTTCCATAGATATTGATTAACTTTGTTCTCACCCTGGTACTGCAACCCCTGTTGTTGATGATGTCGTTGGTACTGCTGTTCCAGGAGACGGGGTTGTGATTGTTGGAGTAGATGTCACAGGCGATGAAGTTGAAGATGCCGAATTCGGAAAAATGCAAGAACCAGTGCCTGTACATAAAAGATAAGGAAAATTCTGAAATGTAGGTTTTCAGTAACAAGACATGATAATGAATGATCTTAATATTTAGCTTACTTGGATTCGAATTGGTAATCATGGCAGTCCCCCCAAAATCACAGCTGGTTTGTGTTGGATTCTTTTGAAAATAACTATTGAAGGCATAAGATGCATGATTTTGCAGAGTATTAGGATTGTAACAACTGCTACCCTGTTGGATGGCCGAGCAATCTGCACCTCCCATTCCACAAGCATAATCAAGTGCTGACTGAAGAGCAGTCTCCATCGCTCCATTCTTTGCAACACACCAGCTCTGCCCTGGAGCAATAGGTGCATTTGTCGTAGCAGGAGGCGTTACTGGGGTGGTGACAGGAACACCACCTACTGGTGAAGGATTCGTCGTTACAGGATTACTCACCGGTGGATTTGTGCTCGGGGTGGTAACTGGATTGGTTATTGGTAATGGTGAATTGACAGGATTTGTATTTGGGACAGAAACAGGAGTAGTAGAAGGAACAGCTAGAGGTGTCGACCCAGGATTTGGAAATCCAGTGTTAGGATTTGTAGCAGGGACAGTAACAATCGTCGGAGCTGAATTATCTGGTGGAACATTAACTGGAGTCGAGACAGGATTAGTGACAGGAGTTGTAGGATAGACAGTTGGTGGATCCATCAAGTCATGTTTAGTTGCTTTAACGGGTAATAATTCAACCAATTCTTTACGGGACAAGTGGAATATTTGTTCTTTTTCCCTTTCTAGCTCTTTGTGCTCAAAGTCTTTGGCTGGTGATTTCCCTGCAAAAGAACATCTTGCATGAGACTTGTTTGCTTTACTTTAACATTAGAGTTTAACTGATATCTTGTAACACCAGATATCAACTTATCATTCCCTTCCATAAGCTGTACAAGGAAGCAGCTCAATTTCAAAGTAGACATGATCAGATTTTAACATGCTTACTTTGGATACCAACTTTTTTCCCCGCGAGTAGTGCTTGGGGCTAAGGGTGGATCTGAGGATTTAAATGAGATGGGTTCAACCTTCATGTTTTCACCACTGAACCATAGCTACATTAGCAATTATGGGTTCAGAACTTGATAATAAAATTTTAGCAATTTTTCACACACATATCTACATGTGAAAAAAATACCGAGTTCAGTTGAACCGTGGAGTCTATGTCGACTAATTCATCGAGAAGCCTGCTAGATGCCAGATAAACTAGGTAGGAACGGATGAGCTCACGGAGTGTTGTAGTTAGGATTTGTAGCTACTCCAATGTCTCAACACTTGAACCATACCATTGGAATACCAACTTCAAGCAGTACAGACCAGCTTTATGGATGTCTAATTCATTAAGTCATTTTCTCCACCTAATCTATGATCCTAATCACACTTCTTACAGATATTTTGTCTTGGATTCAAACTCCATTGTTCCTCCCCCAGGCCTTAACCCCACCTCCCCCCCCCCCCCTTTAAGGCACCAAAGCAAAAAGGAGTCAATATCCTTGGTATACTGAGGTAGGTTGAGAGTTTAACTTGAAAAAGATTAAAAAAATCAGATCTTTACACACTACATAGCCATTTCCTTAGTAGATAAAAACCCTAGTCCAAGTCTGACATACATAGAACAGTGGCTAATCCTTCCATAAAACGATGAAAAACAAACAAGACTAGCACTAACCCACATTTAATCCTTCAGATATGGAGTATCTTTTTTGCTGGAAAATAAAAAGAAAGAAATAAAGAGCAGGAAAAAAAAGCATATAATTTGCTGTTAATTAACAGAAGAGCAGAAAAAGAGAAGCTTGTTGTTAAACAAAAAGCAAACTTGGTAATTAATCATCAGAAAGTGCAGCAAATCAAGAAACTTGCTGCTAATCAAACATTCAGACACCAATATTTTTGTAAGTAGTCAAACAAAAAGTACAATAAAATTCATATTTCAGAAATTAAAGTACTAACCAAGAATGCAGGTAATAAGGAGAATAGACAAGAAGAGCAAAAAGATCAGTTTAGAGGGTGCTGTAGCCATTTTCTTCTTGAGGGGACTGTAATGTGAAGAAGTAGTAAAGGGCGGTGGTGGTCTTTAAAACACATGACACACACAATGAAAAAGGTGACAAATAGGAGAACAGATGGAAAAAAGGTGTGTATAGAGAGAGAATGGGTAAAAGGTGAAAGGGAAACGAATATATATCTTCTTGAACTATTTTAGAGATAAGAGATTTTTTTCAAATAAATAATTGTTGCTTCTCTACTGTGAAAATTCAAGGAATAAAATACAAAGAATTTTTTTATGTTATGTGGATGTTAAACTATATTAATATTTTATATATATAAATATTATATATTTGAAAATTATAAAGTGAATCCTTATGTCCCGTTTTATACGAAAGTATTTAACTAAACACTAAAGTTAAAATGTTCAATTGGATATAAATTACATTGTTAATAGTAAAAAATGTTAAAGTAATGATAAAGTCAAATAATATTCAATGAATATCAATTAACATTAAATTTAAATAAGTATATAATTTGATTAATCATAATTTTTGAAGGTTGTGAAAGTTATATATTCTTTCATATCCAAAATAAAACAAGTGATACATTATTAATTAGGATGGAAGGAATATACTACATCGTAACCTTAATTTTATATGTAAAATGTATTAAAAATGTATTTTCTGAAAACCATAGTTGGAGAAACTTATGACAAATAGCCCCTTTTTAGGACAAATGAGTTTTTTTTTTTTTTTTAGGAATTCTCCTTTACTGAATTTAAAAGAAAAAAATGGAACTCCTTTAAACACTTGGCAATTTGCAGAGGTACTGTAAGGCATGCACCTAATTAAAGACACTGGACATTGCGATGGTGGCCTCGGTATCTAGAAAAGGACCAGATTCAAGAATTTTATTTAACCTGAATTTACATAATTTAATTTACATTAATCACTGTAGTCTTTTCATTTTTTTTTTACTAAAATAGGGTGACTTGATTATTAGTTTCAAAAAAATTGTTGTTATATCTAAGTTTTCATGCAAAGAAGCTATTTCGGAAAACTGTAATAGCTCTTTCTAAACTACTTAACATTCAGTTGTCTTTTCATTTCGTATCAAATATTTTTATATGCGTTTACCCTAGAAATCGAGTAACAATTAAACTTGTAATGTGATTTTAAGGATACGTGATTTCACTTAATAGCAATTGATTAATTTAGAGATAAATGATGAGAATTGACAAAAATGTAAAACAAACCAATGCTTGGACAATGCCCTCGAGCTGATGAACCCTCGAGAATAGTGAAGTAAATACAGCGAAAGAGCAGTAAATTGATGAGCAGAAGAAACAAATATTATATTGCCTTGATATTCGTGAATGTAAGATGTTTATAAATGATGGGACCCCCCTTTATAAACTAGAGGAATCCTAATTATAGTACAATTCTAATTACGGAAGTAAATCTCATGATTGGTACAAATAACCGCCCTTGATTTGATCTGTTCCGAGATTTCCGTCGTGATCTCCGACCGGTTACGGATATCTCGCCTTTCCGTTATTGCACTTCACTCGAAGTCGGTCACACTTAATCTTGATTGCTGCTGGCCTCGGTCTCAACGGACACGTAGACCTTTAGACTCGATGCCTCGTCTTCGAGCTCGGGTCTGATTCATTACGAGGCTACCCCCGATGCAACTCCCTTGTCTCGATCAAATAGGAAAATCGGGTATGCCCGATTTTAACCGTATACAATATCTGTTTACCCTCCAAAATGAATAATAATTAAATTTATATGTGGTTTTAAGGATATGTGAAGTAATTCAATACAAATGTTAAATTGCGTTAGATTAAACAGATAAAGGACGTAATAAATTGTCAAACCACTGGAATGATTCTAGACTCGGTTACAACCTTAATAAAAAGCTTGCCTTCGATCCTGGATTCACAATAACGAAGCACTGATGAACAAAAGTGAGAATTTTGAATAATAGAGAAAAATGAGAGTATATTGCCTTGGCGTGCGTGTTACAATGTGGTTAATGAATAATCAGACCCCCCCTTTATATAGTAGGTGAGTTTTACCCTGAGCACAATTCCATAAATGGTAAAAATCATCTGTTTAACTAATCAACGGGGCTTTGCCGATATATGCCGAGATTCATGCAGTGATACCCGGCTGATCACGGATATCACGACCCTTTGTTAGTCGTGCTCGTTGTCTGATAACGTTCTCCGAAGTTTAGGGGTCCCAATCGGTCTTGGGGGCGTGACTCCCATTCCTCCGAGGATATGTCTTTGCTCGGGCCTCGACTCGAGGGGCTTCTTACCCCGATTCCAACTCCTCACATTTGCATTTCTGCTCCGTTTACTTCATCAAGAACCGAGGTGTTCAAAGGCTCGGTTTTACCCGTATGCAAATAGTCCCCTCGTTTTTCGGAGAGTAAGTTTATGGAAGCGACGAGAAACGATATACGTACTTCAATTCCTTCTCTTATACGTCGTGGCATAAACGACAAAGAACCCGAAATGTCTCGTCAGTCATGTCATTATGACCTCAAACGCGTGTCAGCCACCGATTGGCTATCTCTAAACGTGAAACATCGTGGAGCCTCTATAAATATTCCCCTCCTTCATTCATTTTTTACTTTATGTTCAAGCTTCTACCCTCGAGTCTTCTACCCTTCTTCATACTCTTGTATATTTACCTCTATTTTTCAAAATTTCTCAATAAGTTACAAATTTTACTCATCTTCTAACCAAACCACCGCACTTGAACCTTCATCTTTCGTCCTTCCTTCATCTTTTTCAAGCTTTTTTCAAATAACAATGTCTAAAACTTCCAAATTTGTGCTGCAAAAAGTCACTTCTTCTTCTCAACCGACCACCGAAATCGATGAAACCACTCCCGATGTGGTCGACCCGGAGAGGCCCGCTGCTAACGTGGCTACCAATGAGCCGGCTGTTGAACCTCCGTTGAAGATGTTCATTCCCGGGGATTGTACAGTCACCGATTACTTTAAGGTTGAGAAGCCCTCTTCGGTATAGGGTTGGCGTGAGGAGGCATCAAGATATATATGATCACCGAAGATGTCCTCCCTGAGGTACGAAAGCACTGTAACTTGGCAGATAAAGACATAGTGGTCCTTGGTCGGTTCCAAACCTGCACTATTATAGAGTAGCAAGGATGGTCGATGCAGTTTTACCCAACAAAGGTCGGGATCGAATCCACAGAGAGTTAATTAGTTTGGATTTAGGTTTATATCTGAGTAGAGATTCGGGTTTTGCTCTTAATTGTACTTCCACAAATAGTTGGTTTTGTTATCTACTTCTACTTCTATAGCATGCAATAGTTAAAGGTAAGTACAATATTTTTGTTGGTTGTTTTCAAGGATTAAAAGGGACTAGGGTAGTGACTTCCACCTAGGTAAATATCTAACAGGTATTAAGAATTCAAGGCAAGCTTGTTATGATTGGGCTCGTGATATAACCATCACACATAAGTGCTCACTCTATACCTCTTGGTAGTTTGAGTGACTTTGTCCAATTTGGCTTTCTCAAGTCCAAATGGGTGTTCATGCATAACAAATGATATTGGCTCAAGTCGGGCATTACTATCTCTGGGTTTAACCCTTTAATTGGGGCTATCAATCTCTTGAATGCACCCCAATTCCTTGTTAACCTAATTTTCCTAGACTTAGTCTCTCTTTCTCAAGAAGAGTCTAAGTCATAAAGGCACGAATCAGTGTTTGCAACCACCAATTCCACTATTAAAGCATGAATTAGGCTAAATACCACAAACCCATAAATAATTAAGCCCTAAAATTCAAGACCAATTAAATGCCCACTCTAGGGTTTGGTCAAAACCCTAGCTATGGTTTTAGCTACTCATAATAATAGCAGAAATCAAAGATGAAGATGAAATATAAGCCATAATATTCAAATACAAGACGAAAACTATAAAGGTTGAAGATAAATCTACTCTAAAATTACTCAAAAAGGTAAAAACCAACCGTTCACGTGTTCTCCTTAACAAATCTTAACCTAAAAATGTGAAAAAGATCTATTTATACTAGGCTGAAATTCCCAGACAAAAATGACCCTGCGGATGCGTTTTGACCGCATCCGCGCTTGAGCTATCGCGGCCGCGTAATAATGAGCGCGGTCCACGTTTCTTCAGTTCTGGGCTTGGTTTGGACTTGGTTTCACGGACAGCGTAAAACCCACCGCGTCCGCCTTAGGTTTAACCGCGGCCGCGTAATTTGGACGCGGACTGCGTTCCTCAGTCAAGCTTAACTTGCAGAGTCTCTGAACTTCAATCACCGCTCTCAGCGAAAATATCACCGCGACCGCGTCAGATATTCTGCGGCCGCGCTTTTCCATCGCGGTCAGTGGTAGAACTTGTGCTCAAATTAGCTTCTCTGAACTTTACTTTCGCGAGCCGCGTATTTGTGGACGCCTTAGCGGAGGTCCTCAAGTAGCCGCGTATTTTGTCCGCTCTCCAGCCAGAGGATGAGGGTGTATTGTTTGGGGCTATTCGTATTTTATTGACACCCATCCGGCAGTATTTGGAGGACATCCATGATGACATTGATCATGATACACCGGAGCTTCATATTAGGTGGTACACGATGTCAATGTTGCTGCTTATGTTTGGAGGCATATTGTTCCCTAACATTTCGGTAAACCTAGTCAGCTTGAGATTAATTTCTTCATCATCTTGAGCTGCTAGATGATTTACCTCAATACAACTGGGGTGCTGCTATGCTTGGTTACATGTACCGGCAGATGTGCCGGGCATGCATGGGCACCCAACGAGATGTTGCAAGATGAAAACATAGACAAATACTATCTTCATTATAACATACATCATAAAAATATACCTTAAATTTTACGTCCAAATTGTATATTAGGTTTGGGTTTGGGAGCAGTTCCTGCAGTTTCAGCCACCTCTACCACCCATAGCTCAAGATACACCACCTCCAAGTTGAAGTGATTCCCATTGAATGTGTCCATTTCACAATTGTGGGTGCTAATGTATTTACCCACTTTTCACATATTTATTTTCTTCTTTATCGCATTACAACCCGTAAACCATCCATGGCAAACAACCTTGTATACATCCGGAGATGACTCCCATACGATCATCTCACGGCACTCTTT